TAAAACACTCTTTCACCAGTAGTAGAGACTTAATTGAGGAATAGCATTGAAGACAACGTAAAAAGTAATGGTCGCACTAGTGTGGTCTTGAGATTGCGTTGTAACAAATTGAATTAGCCAGACGACTTGCTAGCAGTTCTATTACTAACTTTACCATGTGAACTCTACAGTTCGCGCTCGGGGCGAGCATTCGCGCGTTAAAGTATGCGCGCGTCTCATGCTCTACGTTCAGCCGAGTGGAACCAAATTCGACAGCTGCTAATTAGATTCTTGCTTTTGTCTAAGTTACTATGTAATTATGTAGAAGGACATCCTTGTATAGTAAACAGAACGACAGACTATAGGTACGGATGCTACAGTGTCATCTAATCTTAAAGCTGAAAAACTCTTAGTTTGTTCTATGAAATGTTCATTCACAGAAATCATTGTAATGCGCAGGAATCAAATCCTTGACTTCTGGTAAAAATATCAACAAATTCTTACTTACTTTTAAATTTAGTTTTAATAATGTTAAGTTCGGTATTTTTATATTTGTTAAATTTAAAACTGTTTGTTATTGTGTACCTGATAATAGAATTATTCGGCTGCTTCAAGACTGACGCAGTTTTAAATGATAATTTATTGCAGACTCGAAGTGAAAGAGCGGTACTGCTATCTTAAGAACAAAATAAAGTGTCTGGATAAGTAAAAGTGCGCTCTACATTGTCTGATGGTGTAAGTTTGTCCAGTGAAAATAAGATAAAAGTATAAAAATAACCTTGAGCAGCAATTATTTCATTACTTGCATGATTTTGTAATTAAATTGTATCAAAAAGTACAATGCTCAAGTAATAACCTACAGCCTTAAGAGGACAGCGGTTAAGAAAAATGTTTCAATTGTTTCCTTCAGATTTAATATAAAGAATGAGCTCACCCCTTGGACGAATGCTCACCCTCACCATTTAATTCCAACAGTTAAGACGATACTTATCGATTTAAAACTTTAAAACATAACAGACAGTTTTTGAAGGTCCTTAAAGTAAGTGACAATACTATCGTTTTCTCTCTACCTGTCCTTCGAAACAAAGAGAGCTTCATTTAGTACATTTCCAATAATATAGCCAACATTTCCCGCCATCGCTGGTAAACTGGACAGTCTGACTAGATACGAATGTGCTGCATTAGTCCACGTTACAGCTCGCCAGCGCTCGCCACCTAATGGCTGATGTATCGTTATAGCTTAATAATCTTTTCCACCTACCGTCGGGTCCTATCGGTATTTCACCGTCCAGAGACAAAGTGTGTTTAATGATGTCTGAAAACGTCAATTGGCAGCCATTTTTCAGGCGCCATTTTGTCGAAAGCTTTTACAGAAATGGCGGAATTGTCTCAATTTTCAAAGTGATTGTCTGCTGATTGTTTCCTGGCTGTTACATTTGGGTAGATTTAGTAGTATAATAAATTATGAAGGTTTGGAGAGTTCTTCTGAAAAGTGGTATTAGGAGGTAGGTACCTACTACTGTAGTCGCTTTAATTTAATAAATGAAATAAAATAGCGGACACTTAACACTATAAATGTTATAATAATTTATAGTAAAATTCACTGGAAAGACTTCTTAATAGATATTGTAATAAGAAACAACCACTTTAAAGGTATTAAAGAAGATCCGAGGCAGTGGCTCTTGAATCTTTAACACTTTGGAATCCTGGAATTCTTTAACACTTTGGCACGTTTTCAGTTGTCTTTTAAGTAGGTAGTGCTTAGCTTAATAAATGTGCCAAGTGGTGTAAAAGAGTAATATAAAACAGCTAATAATTACATTACAGTGTAACGTGTGACATAACACAAATAGTTACTATGTGCTGTATTTATATTTAATGGTTGTATAAGTTTATTATCTTTACGAATTTTAAATAGAAATTCCATTCGAAAAAGTACTGAAAATTTTGAGTTACTAAAACATACATTAGTGAGTATTTAAGTTATGTGTTTTATGTAGTATTAATTAGTGTTACTAAGCTATTATAATGAACAATAAACTAATGAATTCTTTGTAATATTAATAATCATAACTATGTGATGTTTCGTAGCGACAAGATAACGTAAAATAGTTTAACGTGTTTTTAAAGTGTTTGCAATAGGAATAACAGGATTACTTATTATCTCGCGACCTTCTAATTTTCTAGACGGGAAGAATAGAAATGACATTTTAATCTTACACATCAAATCCATATCGATACATAATTCTAAATATTTTTTTCTAAGATTGTTTTATAGATAGCATCAACTCAATTTCCTTCTGTTTCACAGATAAATAAATAACCTCATAAATATGCTCGTCACATGTAACCTTACAAAAACAAATACGTTTGCACGCTCCAGTTTCTTGCTGATAGTCCACTGAATAGACGTCGTGGGCGAATATAATGCGGCATGAATATGCAGAAGCCTGATTGTAACGTCTGTAAACAAGGTGGACAGTGGACACGAAGCCCCTAGACAAGCAAAACGTGACAGTTGTAATTGTCGAAATGATTTCGCTGCGGCGAGTTTTTGTATTTAGTTGCATCGCTCTGTGAAGGGAGTCGATTTTTGCAGCTATTAAAAAATGCCACTTGTCTAGGCACTTGGTGTGCCTATAGTCTATAGTAAAGTTTAGAAATGTTGTAAAGAAAACTCATAGACCCGTACAACCGTAACCGTAACCCGTACAACGCTTGAAAATCGATTAAACATTCTGTCCTGAAATTGTTCTAAATGTAGTCTCAATACGAAGAAAAATACTCTCATAAAGTTTCATTATTTCTTCAGATTACTAACAAACCCCGAACGTTACTGTTATTAAGCGAGTACGTCGATAAGCTTGCTGTAAGTACAGTCGTACAAAAAAAAAAAAAAAAACTGTTACTGTCAGGCACCCAAGGAAAAATGGCACAAACTCGTAAAATCTCGTATCGCTGACTCGAAGTATTATTACAATAGGAATGACTGATATTTTCTGTATTTTTTGATTACAAGATATGGCTTCTCATAAAAATTTATGAATTCGATCCAATCAATTAAAAAAATCATTAAATTGGTTGTATGGCAATCGCTACACACTAATTACCAACGTCAGGCCAAGTCACTTTTGTCTATTTTACGTTGCATTAATAGTTTTGTGCTTTTTCTAACGCTCACTGTACACCAGCCCCGATATCCGCACGAATCTTCCGGCGGGTCGGGTCGGGTCGGTTTTACTGAAACAATTTGTAGGGCGGCGACTTCGTTACGCGTTCGTTCACACCAGTCAGTAAGCTGTCGGAAAATATCGCGATGCGCGCTGCTTGCTAAGTGGAGGGAGGGCTTTATAGAAAAGATTGCGATAAAATCACTGAATGCAGTTCGTCTGCGGAATCTTTTAATGCTCGCTGGATTTTTTATTAAATTTTAGATAGAAGCTGTAATGAAAATAGATAAAAGCAGTTATTATTTAGGTAATTGTTGGGCTAATTAGATACAGAGCAAAAATTTATGAATTGTGTAATCATGTTTCCTACAAACTTTTTTTAAATTCACGTTTATTAAATTTTAATATAATCAAAGGTCTAGGATTTAAAAGCTGTTGTGTTTTATTATTTACTGTGCTCTTTCATTGGTAAATCGTGGCCCACATAACCTGCCGTCCCCCCGGTAGGTATGGATAGGCCATTTTCCTGGGTAAAAAAAAGGAACAGATCCGCCAAGAGACTATAAATGTTTGCTACTCATAATATGGGAATCGATCTCCATACCTTTCCTAACAAGGGGTTCAAATTATCTTTGCATGTACTCCAAAACACTAGTTCAAACAACTTGTATGCCTTACCTAGTTCCAAAGTCCACATCCCATTAGATAAACTATGTTATCGTTATGCAAATTTCGCCTAGTTACATTTTCACGTGTCCTGGGATGCAGGTAGGGTTGACACTTCGCGGAAAATAATTTCCCACAAAAAATGTCGGATAACCAACTACCACGTTGTCCTGACATGAACCCTACAATACTTCGCACACAGCTGAAAATTGGTACGAATGTTCGAGCACCATTATAAATGAAATGTGAAAAGTCCCCATGGATCCGACATGATGATTTAAGGTCATCTTAAAACTGAAGTAAGTTTTACTCAAATTTTACAGCTGTACGCTGCTGTTTGTTGTATGTTGAAGTATTATGTAAGTACATACTAATAGTTTCTTAGTTGCCAATAAATCTGATCAAGAATTAATTATTGTAAAACTTTTACAGTCACCTCAAAAACATGCTAAATAAATGAATCGTATGTTAGGAATAGGAAAAGTTAATACAAAAACGCTAATCTCACTAACTCCAATTTGTTCTGGCACATTTTAATCTGCCCGAACAAGCGTTCATTTCCGACTCTACCCAGCCTGACAACCCTGGAACCGGTGAATGTGGGTTATCGCTGTTTTGCAAGTATGTGCGTCGATACCACCCGTATCTCCAAAGCCAGTTGATATTTCCGATGTGCGTTTGCAGGTACACTCACCCGAAAACATGCTATTCCAGAGCTCTTAAGCCGATGCATTATGAGCTGGAATCGATCACAGGATTAAGGGCCCACTGTATGTGGTCTGGAAATTTCGAGAATTTCTACCCATTTACAGTAACGTTACTGAGTTATTGGATGGGCATGATCCGTTTTGGCTTTACAGTTGGAAAGGCTGTATTTAAGCATTAACAGTAAAAGCTGCTGGCATGTTCACAACTCTCGATTAATAAACCAGTAGTTCCTGAGATTAGCGCGTTCAACCAACCAACCAAACAAACAAACAAACTCTTCAGCTTTATAATATTAATAATAGATAATGAAACTGTAAACTGAATCCAAATTAATTACTTAAAATAGAACTGTCTATTTGGTTAAGACAATCAATGTCATTGTCTACATTTACGGTCTTATTCATAATAAAATGCTAATATAGGTTTAAAACCTACATTAGCTAAAACGTTTGATAGGCTTAAAACACTCTTATAAACCTCTGATAAAAAACGTTATTCATAATCGTTTATAAACCTTTGATAGCTAAAACAGAGTTTAATATTTTCTTTCCACAGACTATACAAAAAGAATGAACGAAAACAGCTTTTTTGGTGATTTAACTTGATGGACCATGTAAAATCATAGACAAATCGCAGAAAAAAAAAACAAAAAATTGGCAGCTGTGACGTTTTACTTACTGACATTGACATTTGGCACGAAAATTTAATAAAGTTTTCGGTTTTTTCGATCAACTCCCAAGTTTTATCAAACTTTTATAAAACTTGGGATTGTATGTTCTGGATTCTGTACCTCTTACCCTGTACTCTGCAATAAGCTCTTACGACGACCCGGCTAGTTACATCGGATACTAATTATGTCCATGACGAAGGAGAACAGACCGCCTAAAAGGCAACGATCAGAAAACTGGTTGGAGGAAGATAAGGTAGTACTTATTTTTAGCCTGATAAAGTGCCTACTAATTTTTGTAGCATGGTTTTATTTATGTTTGACGCCTAGTGTTTGCTTTTCAGTATTTGCTGAAAGAGTTGGTGAAAGAAAGAGTAAATGCAATCGAAAATAAAAATACAGACACTAACACGAATAAACGGAAGGTTGCGGCTTGGGCTGATTTACAAACAACGTTGGTACATCTTTTGATTTCTGCCTTCAATATAAAATTTTGCCTTTACCTGTAATTCAAAATCCTGTCATTTCTTTTTCAGGTTTAATTCAATGTGCGCTGGTATGAACCGCTCCATTACCCAGTTAAAATCGCAATGGAGCCTCATAAAAATCAGTGCGAAGAAAGACAAGACCATTGCTAGGCAGGCTCAAATTAAAACTGGCGGTGGTCCACCATTTTTTAATTTTAATGTGGGTGCAATCTATGGCTCCTATCACCCCAGGAAAATTTTTAATTGCTCTAAATTTGGCACTAATTCTTTCCTGCTCTCCTATAGTGATAGGCATTTTGATGAAGGAATTTGCCTTATTCGCGATTGCATGCGCGACTCTGGCGCATATCCGGCTCACTGTCGGCTGACTTAGGCCATGGAGGTCACCAGCATCATCTTGTACCTGAAAATGTATGAAAATAATTATAGCAGCCACGACAAAGGGATAAAATAAAACACTTTTTTGTGCTTACCTCACGACGTCCCCAACATCTTATGGCCACTAAAACTTGCAGTTCAGGACACGTGCCACCACCTCTAGCGCTCTGAACCAGATCATCTTCCACCAAATCTATGATGGTGCGCACTGTGTCCTTATTGAACCTATATTTTATTTTAAAATTTAGGTCCCGCAAATCGAATGGGTTGCTTCGTTGGCGGTAGAGCTTTCTACGTCGCGCTGGGTCGGCATTATTGGCTAAATGCACAATTGCATTTATAGCATTCATTTTCACAAGCAAGGATCACAGCAAGGATATTTTGAATAAATAAACCAACGAAGTGACATTCATATGAAATGACATTTATAAAAGTTAGGTTAAAATAGGTTTATTAGAGCTTTAAACAAGGCCCGAGCTCTCGATAACTTATCACACAGTTATAAGAGGATTTTAGCGCTAAATGACGATTATGAATAACAATTTTTATCAAACGTTTTATAAACCTCTAATAAGCATTTGATAAAATGTGAAAAATGATTATGAATAAGACCGTTAGTCTCTTTTAATAGAAGCTAAAAATAAAAGTATTCAGACTAAACTTTCGTTGTAAATTAATCTCTATCACAACTCTATAAGTAGTGAAGCCCCACTGCGAAGAAAGGAAGGTCCCGAAACACCCGTGGTGCTGTCGTACCTATTTTGACTAGTTATTTTAACTTTTTGACTTTTTTATCTTTACGCTAACGAACGTCTGAATATTACAGAAGGCAAATCTAACTTGTACGGAAAGCTAGCCCGAGGCTGGTACGGGCGTGGGAGGCTAATTTGTTGCCAAATTATACACAATATCGGTTATCATTTGCGTCATTGTCTGTTTGTATGGAAAATATAGGCTGTGCTTATGTAAGACTAGAGATATTGTATGTTTCCAGTATAACATATTTTGTTACAGTATCAATATTGTATGTAACTACATGTCGTGAACAAGATCGTGTATGTGCTATCACCTCAAGTAACGTATGCATTATTAGCGTTCGATATTCAGGAACTCAGGGATAGTTGAGGAATCTGTAATAGTCTTTGATTTTATAAAGAATTACAGGTATGCCAGTAAGTAGCTTTACGCATCCACGAAAAAGCTGTAGCTCCTACAATTTATAGTTTTCCGCGGATATATCAAAAAGTTTTCAAACTGAATAACCATTGCATTATTCTATAAAACATTTTACTCAAGCTTGTATTTATAGGTCAAATATCGAGCATAGTGTATTGAAACTTCAAAAGCTGCCTTCCTGCCGTTTATTTGTATTGAACCGAGTCTCAGAGGAAATCATGCCAGTGATATACGAATTCCATTTAATATAGCTCGCTCAATATCTCATGTCGTGCTTCACCCTGTATACAAGATATACACGTGCAATTGAAATGGAGAAGAAAATATTACAGGTGAGATGAAATATGTGCATAGAGAAATTCGATAACATCAGTATGACGTCTATTAAATTATTATGAGGAATAGGCATTTGTGAAGGAGATGTTTGCAGAATTTCTATTGCGTATTTCAGTCGTAGTTTACTCGTAAGTTTCATCAACGTACCTCTACAGAGTGTATATTTTTTCTGTAAAATATTTTTTTCATATTTTTAGGGGCATATAGGTCAGAGTTCAAGCTACCTCCCATATAAGTTTGATTCACCCATTCTGAGATCCTGTATAAACCGAATTGTATGTTCTCTACATTATTAGCGACTCTACAGTAGTGTATGCAATTGTCATAACAAATACTAACTGTAAGGCTTTAAGGTTGTCAAATAATATTTTTTATGTTAAAAAAAGAAAGCTTTCCGCTCAAATATACATGCGGAAAATCGGCAGGAAAGAGCCTTATACAAGAACAGTGATATTTTATCACATTACCGTGACAGTGCGTGGGCTTCTGACGCATATATGCTTTTAACATATTGTATTTGCACGAACCCCACGTGATGTGGGAATCTAATTGGAATTTTGTGCTTTGTGAAGCTTATTATGGGTTTATGGTGAGACACGTTAATAAATTGATCTAGCTTTTATGTGCAATTAGTTCGGTACTAACGTGTCATGCGATTTAAAAGGTTTTGCATTGAAAGTTCATAATAATGTTCCACAATTTTCCAGGCATAGTGTAAGTTGAGTTCATGAAATCTATGAAAGGCGAACGACTATTTTTATAGTTCCATTACTCGTAAATGTAGGTAAGTTGCTGTCAGTCCGATTAGGCCATGTCAGACGCCTATGGCGGTTCATTAGGCCTGACAACAGGGTTGTGACGTCAGTTGTACATACGATAGAAAAAGAAAAGTCTGAGGCTATAAATAATGTAGGTTATCGATTAACCCCCGGTTTTTAACTGAGATTTTTAGCTTGAGTGAACTCATTTTCTAAAATCAACTTTGAGAATCTCAAAACAATTTTGGACCATTTGAATTCGAAAATAGGTGTTTTTGGCATACATAAGTAGAGAGTGAGCATTCTCCACCTCGAAATCTAAATTCAGAAACCGTCTGTAATGTAGGTAAAATTCCCGCCATTTTGCGTTGTTTACTCAAAGTCATGGCCGACTCTATGAAACGGATTCCATCAATTTTCGATAATAAAAAGGCAGTAAAGGAAACAATACTATTATGGCATGATAAGCAACGACACACGTTCTGCGTATCACGAGAAGTAATTCAGGGCCACTTAAATATGCGTTTGTTTACTTATCGTGACGCTCTGGTGTGCATTGGCACTTGGATTAGATGACCACGACGTTAAATACAGGATGTTACAGGCTAGTATTTGAAAAGTTTAAGCTTAAAAACCATGCTCTTTAGTTGACATCTATGTTACTAATTTATTCCTGGAAACTTTGTAATTACCTAACTTTGTTAAATTATAAATAGAAAGTCGTATGTTAAGAGGGCTGAAGAAATATTGAAGAATATACATTAACATATTTTCATAGGACTGAACTACCTATATTCTTTCAGCGTTTATTTAAAAAAAAAGACTATATTTTAGTATAACCCTGTATAGCTATAAAAAGAGTTAAATATGTCTGGGAGTCATCGAAAATTAGAAAACAAGTATCCTAAAAATGTTTATAGGCTGAATTGGTTAGATTCAGAAGTGACAAGTAAGGAACTGGAAGGAAATTATCTAAACTTGATGTAGGTAATAATAGTAATTTCGTAATAGAGCCCAAGTATAGGTACGTATACTACGTACGTATACGGATATTGTGAGAACATTTTACGTCTAATTTAATTTACATAATCTTTATCCTTGTTTTTAACGTATTAGGAAAAAAACAAGTTACTTTTACCCACCAATTTAGGTATACATACATCAGGAGATGTTTTAGTAACAATGAAATCATTAACTTTGATGTATTTAAATGGCCGCCCATTTATTCGAACGGCTGAATTAATGTAATGATTCTTAAACCGAATGAAAATAAATCGCAATAGATTTTGAATTGTAGATTTGTAATGGCCGAGGAAAAATTAAATGTGAATTCATAATAATAAGTGTGGTATCTCAGAATACGGAACAAACCAGAAACCGTCAACGGGCGTAAATGTGTATTCATATAAATTACTCCAAAACGCACTAGTTTGACTTTAGAGCAATTAGTCAATGGCCGGCGCGCGCATTGTTTACATATCCGTCAGATTGACACTTTATAATTAAATTATGCCGTCTTGTGCCGTTCCAACATGTAAGAATGCTACTGGAATTACGAAGAAAGTGCATGGGATCATGTTTTATCCGTAAGTAGCACATTTCCAATTCATTTTAAATAAATAATAATTTTCAAAAAAAAATCTCGGTTGTATTTTGTAAGTGTTGCCACAGGTCAACGGAATATTTTACCCTACTTTTTTATATTGAATTACATTTGTCTATAAAAAATTCACGCGTTAATTTTGTTAGCGTTACCACAGAATAATGGAATATTTTCCCCATCCTTTTTGTTTTAATTAGTTTTTAGTGTATTTTCATCCATGACAATATGACAACCTGATTAATTAAATTATAAGTGCCACTTGTGGTCTAAACTGAATAATTATTTTTGATTTTGATTTGACTTACTCTGATTTTCTTTCAGGATAAACAGCCAGAGTTGCCTCGCAATCAAATTCAAGTATTGGTGATGTTTTTGATTTGGATTCTGTTTTTGACTCCAAGAAAAGTTAAACTAAAAGCACTACTGCGCCGTAAACAAATGTTTTGTTGTCGATATGTTTACATAATAAAGAACCTTAAGTTTCTTTTTTGTTTTACTTGGCATTCTAAAATTTATATTCGACTTTTGTAATTTACTTTTAAATAACATATTATACCTACATGTAGTATATTACACTATTTAATAGAAATAAATAATCATCTACACTTAGTTACTTCGGAGTAAAAATTAAATTCATAGGTAGGTAGGTACTATCTATGCCTATGGCCAGTCATGTCGTCTCGTTCTATCGCAAAGAATCACCATTTGATGAGAGCGAGAGCAAAAACGGAAATGGATAGTTAATACTGTGGCCGTGTGTACTTATTTCACTTACTTATTTTTTACTTGTTTAACATCTTATTAAAAAATTACATAATTTTACCTCGAAAATGGGGGTGTCACACGGCGCTAGTAACACTAAAGGGGGTAGAGGGGTGCGGGAGGGGAAGTATTTTGGACACAAGTTGCCGCGTAGAAATGTTATCGAACACTCTTTCTGGTTTGTTCTGTATTCTGAGTGTGGTATTTAAAATAGGTATTGTAAGAGATAATTTTATACTTTATATTCTAATGAATGGAATAATTACTTTATTTATATTAGACACTATTATTTTCTTATTATGAACAGTCTAAGACCTTTACAAAGACATCTATCAATGTGACTGCAAAGTTTAAGATTATTGAGTTATTCCCCTAACTTAGTAACTTGGTATCTCTTAGCCAATATCTCTATCAAACCTCATAATATGTCTCTGGGTACTAAGATATCAATGATGGATTACACCTCTTATCTGTGGATTAAGGCGAAGATTCAATGTAGACGAGATCAGTACAGACGGACAACGATACTTCAAGGTAAACACCGTAGCCTTATGTAGTTGTATTAAGTGTGATTTTAGAACAAAACGTGTATTCTAATGTGCTCTTGTCTGTACATTAAGAAGCCTATTTTGGAACGAGCTCTAAGACTCGGTTGATTGATCAGTATAATAATAGCGTAGATATTATT